TCACCCCTGTCCTCAAACAACCCCACTGGCTCCCAGGTCCTCCTCCTCACCTAAAAGTCCTCCGTAACTTTGTCCCTTCACACCTCACTGACCTCCTGCATCATCACTGTCCCACCCGCCGCCTCAGATCCACAGACTCCAATCAGAACAAACTCTCTGGAACTCACTCCCATCGCACATTAGAAACTCTGACTCACAATTTTTTTGTTTTGTTTCTGTTATCTGTTTCTGGTATTATGTTATTTCTGTAAAGCGTCTTTAAGTGTCCAAAAAAGCGCTGTATAAGCGCTGTGTTTCTATCTGTGTCTGTGTGAGTCAGACTGAGGTCACGACCGATCGATCGACTCAGACTCAGACCTGAGGAGGCGGAATTACATAAACCCGGAATAAAGCAGGACTAGAACATGACTAGAACAGGACTAGAACAGGACTAGAACAGGACTAGAACAGGACTAGAACAGGACTAGAACAGGACTAGAACAGGACTAGATTAAGCAAGACTAAAGCAGGACATGAACAGGACCCAAAGCAGGTCTAAAACAAGTCTGGAGCAGGACTAAAGCAGGACTCAAGCAAGACTAAAGCAGGACTCAAGCAGGACTGGAACAGGACAAGAACAGGACTGGAACAGGACTAAAGCAGGGCTAAAGCAGGACCAGGGTAGGCCTGTTTGGTCTCAGTCTCTCGGACAGAGGATGAGACCGGACTTCTTTCTCTGAATACATTTCCATAATTCAAATGCTTATTTTTTCTATCACCTCTGTTTCTGAAATGAATCACCCAGAGCAGCAACTGCAAGCACTGATAGAACCAAAACCAGGAAAATGCAGGGCTAAAGCAGGACTAAACTAGAGACTAAAGCAGGTCTAAAGCAGGTCTAAAAAAAAAGTATTAAACCAGGACTAAAGGAGACATTGAAACGGGTCTAAAGCAAGACAAAACCAGGTCCAAACGAGCATTAATGCAGGAATAAACCAGGGCTAAAGCTGGACTAAACCAGAGACTAATCCAGGACTAAACTAGGACTGAGGCAGGACTAAAGCAGAAGCAGGTCTAATTTAAGACAAAGCCATAGTGATGTACTACCCACTAGATTTCTGAAGTCTGTTCTGAGCAGTCTGTTACCTTCACTCACACAGATAGTAAACATGTCCCTTCATTCTGGAATATTCCCAAAGGCCCTGAAAACTGCAGTCATCAGGCCCCTGCTAAAAAAGAGCAGTCTGGATGCCACTGTACTTAACAACTATCGTCCCATCTCAAATCTGCCATTTATGGGGAAAGTCCTTGAGAAAGTTGTCTACCTACAGCTTACTAGATTTCTTATAATCAACAACTCATTTGATATGTTTCAGTCCGGCTTTAGACCCCACCACAGCACTGAGACTGCTCTCGTTAAGGTTACAAACGATATCCGGCTGAACACTGACGCAGGCAAAGTCTCAATCTTAATCTTGTTAGATCTAAGTGCTGCCTTTGACACCGTCGACCATGAGATCCTCTTACAGAGACTAGAGGACTGGGTTGGCGTCACTGGCACCGCCCTAAGTTGGTTTAGGTCTTACCTTGAAGACAGGAAGTACTTTGTGGAGATTGGAAACTGTGTCTCAGATCATATGGCCCTGACCTGTGGAGTCCCACAGGGGTCGATCCTGGGACCTCTTCTGTTCAATCTCTACATGCTGCCGTTAGGTCAGTTAATACGCAGAAACAAAGTTTCCTATCATAACTATGCAGACGACACTCAGATCTATGTCTCACTGACTGCAGGAGAACATGGACCAGTGGACTCACTCCTTCACTGTATCCAACAGATCAGTGAGTGGATGCAAAACAACTTCCTTCAGCTAAACGCAGACAAAACTGAAATGATTGTCTTTGGTCCCCAGAAACAAAGAGAGAGCGTCATCTGTCACCTACAGTCTCTCTCCCTAAAACCTTCAAACAAGGTCAGAAATCTAGGGGTAATACTGGACTCAGACTTAAATTTTAATAGCCACATCAAATCAGTAACATCAGCAGCTTTTTACCATCTAAAAAACATTGCCAGGATCAAAAACATAGTGTCTAAAGCAGACTTGGAGATTCTTATCCATGCATTTGTCTCCAGTAGGTTAGACTACTGCAATGGCCTGCTCACAGGTCTGTCCAAACAGGCTGTAAAACAGCTGCAGTACATTCAAAATGCAGCAGCTCGAGTCCTGACAAGAACCAGGAAGTACGACCACATTAGTCCAGTCCTCAGGTCTCTGCACTGGCTTCCTGTGGCTCAGAGAATAGACTTTAAAACAGCTCTGCTTGTGTACAAGTCTCTCCATAGCCTCGCACCAAAATATATTAGTGACATGTTAGTCCCATATGAACCAGCCCGGACTCTGAGGAGCACAGGGACTGGACTCCTGTTAGTGCCCAGAGTCAGAACTAAACATGGGGAGGCTGCTTTTCAGATTAATGCTGCTAAAATCTGGAACAGTCTTCCTGAAGATGTGAGACAGGCCTCCTCTCTGACAATGTTTAAAACCAGGTTAAAGACGGTTCTGTTTAACTGTGCATACAACTGAGGGATTTTATATTTTTATCTTTCTTTTTAATGTTCTGTGATAATTTATGATTTTAATGCTTTCTTGTTTTGTTCAGCACTTTGAATTGCCTTGTGTATGAATTGTGCTATATAAATAAACTTGCCTTGCCTTGCCTTGCCTTGCCAAAGGGAGGTCTAAAACAGGTCTTCAGCGGGACAAAACATGGACCAAACCAGGACTAAACAAAGATCGAAGCAGGTCTATGAAAGAATAGTTCTAAAACAGGTCTAAAACAGGTCTAAAACAGGTCTAAAACAGGTCTAACATTCACAGGGCTCTGAGTGGAGACGAGTGGGCGGCCGGCGTCTCCCTGGAAACCGCCTCCATCCGTCTCCGCGGCGACAGCGAGAGGGCTTTACGTTGAACCTGTGAGAGTGTGTCCTTGTGGAGATTACAGCAGATAATGTACAACTCTGGCCTTTTCTCTGACATTACAACAAAGCAGCGACATAGCAGGCCTCTGTCGGCATCAGGGATTGTTGTGTCTGGGAACGATGGATGTATTCTCAATTTTTTGTCCCGGAGCACCTGGAGGAAACACAGACACAGGGAGAACATGCATCGTTGTTATGAACGAGTGAATATTGTGACTTTGTGCTGCTGTGAGTCTCATGGATCTGTGTTGTGTCTGTGCTGCGCGTGTCTGACCCATAACTGGACTCATTACAACACGGAAAACAGCCTCAGGCCACGGTCCCACATGGTCCCGAACATGTGCCATTATATCAGAGACTGTATAGATAGATACATGTAGATGCTTTATTGATCCACTGTAGGAGAAATTCAGGTCCTGCAGCAGAAAACACATCCATTTAAACATAAAAGTACATACATTATAAATATTTCTAACTAAATACCAAACAACAATGCATATTTTTATCTTATACAGGGCTCTGTCTCTGTTTCTCTGTCATTCTGCTGTTTGTATGAGATATTGTCTTTGAAAAAAACAGATATGACCCATGCGGCTGAATAGGGACTAGAACTAACAAAACATGAAGAATCTGAAGCCGGAGACCAGAGATAGACCAGAGAGAGACCAGAGAGAGACCAGAGAGAGACCAGAGAGAGACCAGAGAGAGACCAGAGAGAGACCAGAGAGAGAGACCAGAGAGAGACCAGAGAGAGACCAGAGAGAGACCAGAGAGAGACCAGAGAGAGAGACCAGAGAGAGACCAGAGAGAGACCAGAGAGAGACCAGAGAGAGACCAGAGAGAGACCAGAGAGAGACCAGAGAGAGAGATCAGAGAGAGATCAGAGAGAGACCAGAGAGAGACCAGAGAGAGACCAGAGAGAGACCAGAGAGAGACAAGAGAGAGAGATCAGAGAGAGAGATCAGAGAGAGACCAGAGAGAAACAAGAGAGAGAGATCAGAGAAAGACTAGAGAGAGACCAGAGAGAGAGACCAGAGAGAGACCAGCGAGAGACCAGAGAGAGACCAGAGAGAGACCAGAGAGAGAGATCAGAGAGAGACCAGAGAGAGACCAGAGAGAGTCCAGAGAGAGACCAGTCCGAGAGAGAGACCAGAGAGAGACAAGAGAGAGAGAGATCAGAGAGAGACCAGAGAGAGACCAGAGAGAGAAACAAGAGAGAGAGATCAGAGAAAGACTAGAGAGAGACCAGAGAGAGAGACCAGAGAGAGACCAGCGAGAGACCAGCGAGAGACCAGAGAGAGACCAGAGAGAGACCAGAGAGAGAGATCAGAGAGAGACCAGAGAGAGACCAGAGAGAGTCCAGAGAGAGACCAGAGAGAGAGACCAGAGAGAGACAAGAGAGAGAGATCAGAGAGAGACCAGAGAGAGACCAGAGAGAGAAACAAGAGAGAGAGATCAGAGAAAGACTAGAGAGAGACCAGAGAGAGAGACCAGAGAGAGACCAGCGAGAGACCAGCGAGAGACCAGAGAGAGACCAGAGAGAGACCAAGAGAGAGAGATCAGAGAGAGACCAGAGAGAGACCAGAGAGAGTCCAGAGAGAGACCAGAGAGAGAGACCAGAGAGAGACAAGAGAGAGAGATCAGAGAGAGACCAGAGAGAGACCAGAGAGAGACCAGAGAGAGACCAGATAGAGACCAGATAGAGACCAGATAGAGACCAGAGAGAGAGATCAGAGAGAGACCAGAGAGAGACCAGAGAGAGACCAGAGAGAGACCAGAGAGAGACCAGAGAGAGACCAGAGAGAGACCAGAGAGAGAGAGATCAGAGAGAGACCAGAGAGAGACCAGGAGAGATAAGAGAGAGACCAGAGAGAGACCAGAGAGAGATCAGAGAGAGACAGAGAAGCTTAAGGGAGAGACAAGAGAGAGATCAGGGAGAGACAGGAGGAGGGACTAGGATAGACAGAGAGAGACCGGGAGAGAACAGAGAATGACACCAGAGAGAGACTGTGGATGGCAACTTCAAGGCGACCCCTAATATCTCATGATTGGTCAGATATTAGGGATTATATGTTGATTTACAAATAAATTATCAATATAAAGGACATAGAAACCAAAAGCTCTACCAACCTCTTGCGTTAGCATCATTATCTGTATTTAGTATTTAGTGGTTTAGTAGTGGTCATATAATGCTTCTCTCTCCACATGTGTCACATTTATACATACAATAATCCATAATCCTTTGAGCCGCTCCAGAAGTTCAGGACCCCACTGAGAACAGAGAGAGAGACCAGGAGAGACCAGAGAGAGACCAGAGAGAAAGTAGAGACAGATCAGAGAGGGACCAAAGAAAGAAAGACCAGGAGAGACAAAGGTTAGACCAGAGAGAGAGAGAGACCAGAGAGACAACAGAGAGGGACCAGAGAGGGACCAGAAAGTGTTTAGAGAGAGACTTTTGCACAGCAGCTGAAAAAACTCTACAATTCTACGTCCGTTTGCTCTGAGCTCTGAGCCCCCTCCCTCCTTCTGCCTCTCTCTCTCTGAGTCTGAGGCTGTTGCTGCGCGGACTCCACTCTGCTTCCCTCGTCTCCACAATCGTCCGGCTTCTTTTGGCTCGTGTTCGGACTCCTCTCTGCGGCTTCCCCCTCGGAGCAGACGGACGCGAGGGAGATTCCAGGGAGACTCCAGGAGGAAGCATGGGATTATGGGAATGAGGATCTGACCGGCAGGGTTCAAAAGAAGAACAAGGTGAGGATCACAGCTGTATATTAGTTTGAACTTAGATTTTTATTGATAGGTTTTCAAGTTTAGAGTGGATTAACCATGTGCAAGAGGCTAAGGTTAAGTTACTGCTGTGATCCAGGCTTGGGGCTGGCACAAACACAGGCAAACAGAAGCAAAAATCCAGGTTAGATGCTACGCTATAGAGAGTTAGAGATTCTTCTGGGATTCTGTGACTCTGTGTCTGTGAGTTGAGCTTAAGTCGTGTTTTGTCAAGACAACAGTGTTTAGTTCCTGACTTTATACAAAATCTGACTCAGTGTTTGTCACATTTGTCACACATTTATCAACTTTTCTATGTTTATAATGTAATGTCTACTGTGGTTTATGCAAATGTATGTTTATCTTTTCTAATCAGGAATATTAAACATTTTTAACACATGAATATGCCATAATATTTGATTCAATTCAATTTGATTTAATTGAGGACTATACAAAGTTGTGGATTCACCAAAAACAGATCAGAGAATCAAATAGTTCACTCATAGGGAATGCAATGATCATAAACACAAAGGAGCATTGGTCCATACAGAGCGGGACGACTGAGGCTGTAGATCCAGGACTGAGGCTGTAGATCCAGGACTGAGGCTATAGATCCAGGACTGAGGCTATAGATCCAGGACTGAGGCTATAGATCCAGGACTGAGGCTATAGATCCAGGACTGAGGCTATAGATCCAGGACTGAGGCTATAGATCCAGGACTGAGGCTGTAGATCCAGGACTGAGGCTATAGATCCAGGACTGAGGCTATAGATCCAGGACTGAGGCTATAGATCCAGGACTGAGGCTATAGATCCAGGACTGAGGCTGTAGATCCAGGACTGAGACTGTAGATCCAGGACTGAGGCTGTAGACCCAGGACTGAGGCTGTAGACCCAGGACTGAGGCTGTAGATCCAGGACTGAGGCTGTAGATCCAGGACTGAGGCTGTAGATCCAGGACTGAGGTTGTAGACCCAGGACTGAGGCTGTAGACCCAGGACTGAGGCTGTAGATCCAGGACTGAGGCTGTAGATCCAGGGCTGAGGCTGTAGACCCAGGACTGAGGCTGTAGATCCAGGACTGAGGCTGTAGATCCAGGACTGAGGCTGTAGATCCAGGACTGAGGCTGTAGATCCAGGACTGAGGCTGCAGATCCAGGACTGGGAGTGGTGCTTGTGTAAAAATTCAGCTAAAAACAGTATTTTAACAATAACCAACCAGGTACAAAGTGCGTCACGGGTGAGAGAGTACATAGCACTTGGCCTTACAAAGTGCAACTGCTTTGGAAAGACCAAAAACAATTATGCACAGAGACTTGAAGAGTCAGTTCAGGTCAAAGAGCAATCCATATCAACAAAGGCATTAACAATTAGTTTTAGATTTTTGACCATAGACTGTATACAAATGGAAATCTTTAACGGCTCGCCCAACGCAGTCCATTAGGGAAGTGCTCACCAGCTAAGTTTGGCTCCTCTCTCTGGCTCCTATTGACGTACGTGAAAAAGCTCAGTAACCGTTGTGTCAAGAGGAAGAGAGAGACCAAACAGAGAAACCAGAGAGAGACCAGAGAGAGATCAGAGAGAGAGAGACCTGAGAAAGAGAGAGAGAGAGAGACCAGAGAGAGACCAGAGAGAGATCAGAGAGAGAGAGACCTGAGAAAGAGAGAGAGAGAGAGAGAGAGAGAGAGAGAGACCAGAGAGAGACCAGAGAGAGAGAGAGAGGCCAGAGAGAGAGAGAGAGAGAGAGGTCAGAGAGAGAGAGAGAGGTCAGAGAGAGAGAGAGAGAGAGAGAGAGAGAGAGAGAGAGAGACTCTCTCTTAAACTCGATGGGACCGTTTGAATATATAAATAACAAAAACAGAGGAAACCACATTGACCGAAGACATGAGATCTGCTTTGAGAGTGAAACTACAGCATGTACCTCCTTTGACAACTTCACAACTATTTTTATAATAATAACGTAGTCGCAGCTTTGCTCACTGAGCAAAATAAAATAAAAGAGGACACCTTGTGTACAGCGTTTTTCCAAAACCGATACGTCGAGTTCAGCTCCGTGTCCTTCCTTGAGTTGTCCTCACACAGCTCTAGGCAACAAGTGGCTTTAAGGGCAATGCAGGTGCTTGGTCTCACCCGGTCTAACCCGGTCCCACACGGTCCCACACGGTCCCACACGGTCACACACGGTCCCACACGGTCCCACACGGTCCCACACGGTCCCACACGGTCCCACACGGTCCCACACGGTCCCACACGGTCCCACACGGTCCCACTCGGTCCCACCCGTTCCCACTTTGTCCAATATGTCTCGTCTTTGTATCCCACGTAGCCAAAGGCATGGCTACTAGTGTGTGAGAAACTCATTCACAGGGATTTTATCAGTATAAAAAAGGGATTTACAAAAATGTTGATTCACCAACAATCAGAGAATCAAACAGTTCAAACTCAGAAATTGCAACAAAATATATGGGACATTGGTCCATAGGGAGCGGGATGACTGAGGCTGTAGTTCCAGGACTGGGGCTGTAGATCCAGGACTGAGTCTGTAGATCCAGGACTGAGGCTGTAGATCCAGGACTGAGGCTGTAGATCCAGGACTGAGTCTGTAGATCCAGGACTGAGTCTGTAGATCCAGGACTGGGGCTGTAGATCCAGGACTGGGGCTGTAGATCCAGGACTGAGTCTGTAGATCCAGGACTGAGTCTGTAGATCCAGGACTGGGGCTGTAGTTCCAGCAGTGGCGGCCGGCCAATAGAGGGCGCTAGGGCGCCGCCCCACCACTCACAACTTGCCATGTTACCTTGAATAAAACGTTAAAAAAAATGATAACATTAAAATATTTCGAAATGTATGTGTGTTTTATTTCAGATGTGGAAGAAATACTTTATAGTTTATGCTGAGTTGGATTGATTAAGCTCATCAGCGTTGTCTGTGTCGGACTGAGGACGTATTTCCGCCTCAGGGCGCAAAAGATTGCGCCCTGAGCCGTCTATGGACTCTCGTTAAAAGTTGTACATGCGCAGTAGCTCCTCTTCAATGCAAGAGATAAGACGATTTGGGGGCGCAGGAGAAGTGCGCCCTGAGGGGGCGGGATCGCCCGCGACCTGTACTGTCACTGTCTGTGACGTCCGTTTACAGTGATTGACAGGTCAAGCTGTGGGAGTTTGAGACAAACGTAAAGAGACGCAAAATGGAGAACGAGAAAAAGAATAATTCAGTTAGATCACTCAAAACAATACCGTTTGAGAGAAGATCATACCAGGAGAAGGTTGAGGTTAAAGAGCTTGGACCTGATCAGCCAAATATTACCATTAGTCAGCAGTCCAGGACCTGGTTCAGCGCCAAATCTTGGCTAGCAGCATGTAGCGAGGCTAATGCTTTATTTTGCTTTCCATGCCTCTTGTTTCAAACATCAGGATCTGACCCAGCATGGATCAAGACAGGTATGACTGATCTGAAGCACTTTTTAGAAAAGGCAAAGAAGCATGAGCAGACTGGTATCCACATGCAAAATGCCCTCAAATTAGCTATGTTTGGGAAGATAAATATTTCATCCCAGCTGGATGAAAGCTACAGGGTAGGGATCAGAAAGCACAATGAGGAGGTTGACAAGAATAGGCACATCCTATCAAAAATAATAGACTGTGTCAAATTCTGTGGTGCATTTATATCTAGTCATCATATTCATAGCCCCCCCAGTAGAAAATTCCACCAGCCGCCACTGAGTTCCAGGACTGTGGCTGTAGATCCAGGACTGGGGCTGTAGATCCAGGACTGAGTCTGTAGATCCAGGACTGAGGCTGTAGATCCAGGACTGGGGCTGTAGATCCAGGACTGGGGCTGTAGAACCAGGACTGGGGCTGTAGATCCAGGACTGAGTCTGTAGATCCAGGACTGAGGCTGTAGACCCAGGACTGAGGCTGTAGACCCAGGACTGAGGCTGTAGACCCAGGACTGAGGCTGTAGACCCAGGACTGAGGCTGTAGATTAGAGGTGCAGATGGAGGAAGCCGGGTTCAGGGTCATGACGTCATGAAATGTACAATGGGGACAGTGGATAAATACCAATGAACAGGCTACAGTTGAAATCATGATTAGGGGGATAGTGCTGTTACCATACCTCTCCAGCAGGGGGCTCTATATGCCATCTGACCATCTGTGTTGTTTCAAAAAACACAAAAGTAGGTAAATAAAAATATTTTGGATGAATGCCGATAATACTTAGCACTAAGGACCAGTTATGATTGTAGATAACATGATATTGTCTGGTGTTTGCAGATGGCGGCCCCTCCGCTGATACGAGCTCCCAGCCCTCTGCCGTTGTTTCCCGCGGCGACGGAGGAAGAGGGCGGGGCCAATCCACCAGGGGCCGTGGTCTCCTTCCACATCCAGATCGGACTCAGTCGAGAACCGGTTCTACTGGACTCTGCAGATCTGAGTCTGGGACAAGTGCGAGAGGTGGCCTGCTCCATCATCGACCAGAAGGTGAGAACAGAGAGAGAGACCAGAGAGAGACCAGAGAGAGAGAGACCAGAGAGAGACCAGAGAAAGACCAGAGAGAGACCAGAGAGAGACCAGAGAAAGACCAGAGAGAGAGACCAGAGAGAGACCAGAGAAAGACCAGAGAGAGAGAGACCAGAGAGAGACCAGAGAAAGACCAGAGAGAGAGACCAGAGAAAGACCAGAGAGAGACCAGAGAAAGACCAGAGAGAGAGACCAGAGAAAGACCAGAGAGAGAGACCAGAGAGAGGGACCAGAGAGAGAGACCAGAGAGAGACTAGAGAGACCAGAGAGTCAAGAAAGAGACCAGAGAGAGAGACCCGAGAGAGTCCCCAGGGAGAGACCAGGGAGACACCAGAGATAAGATAGACCAGACCAAACAGAGAGACCAGAAAGAAAAGCTAGCGAGAGTTTTTTCTGGTGTGACACATTCAGTCTGGTTCCTGGTTTGACGTGTTGCTGGTGCTGTTTTTATCCTGCTGTTCTGTGATGTGTCCAGGTTATTTTCAGTCCGAACTCCTCCTCTTTCTGAGTCACCACTGTTTGAAGCTCCCTGTGTCTCCTCTGAAGCTAACACTAAAGCAGGTCTAAAGCAGGTCTAAAGCAGGTCTACGGCAGGGCTGAAGCAGGCTTAAAGCAGATCTAACACAGGTCTAACGCAGAGCTAAAGCAAGTCTAAAGCAGGACTGAAGAAGGTCAAAAGCAGGACTAAAAAAAAGTCTAAAGCAGGAATGAAGCAGATCTACAGCAGGACTAAAACAGGACTAAAGCAGGTCTAAAGCAGGACCTAAGCAGGACTAAAGCAGGACTAAAGCAGGACTAAAGCAGGACTAAAAAAAGTCTAAAGCAGGACTACATCATATCTACAGCAGGATGTATTGAATGGTTGTGTCCAGGTCAATGGGAGGTTATATGTTAAAGCCTCAGGCGCTCTCTGTGTGGGATCAATGACTTTCTCTGTGACACCAGCAACTCCTATAGTCCTGTGTAGTTCTGCTTCTGTCTCTGCTTCAGTCTCTGCTTCAGTCTCTGCTTCAGTCTCTGCCTCAGTCTCTGCTTCAGTCTCTGCTTCAGTCTCTGCTTCAGTCTCTGCTTCAGTCTCTGCTTCAGTCTCTGCCTCAGTCTCTGCTTCAGTCTCTGCTTCAGTCTCTGCCTCAGTCTCTGCTTCAGTCTCTGCCTCAGTCTCTGCTTCAGTCTCTGCTTCAGTCTCTGCTTCAGTCTCTGCTTCAGTCTCTGCTTCAGTCTCTGCTTCAGTCTCTGCTTCAGTCTCTGCTTCAGTCTCTGCCTCTGCTTTAATTCTGTTATAACTGTGGTTTATGCAACTTTCATCTTTTTAACTTTCTACATCATGACTGTTGTGGCTACAGTAGTGGTTTCTAATTATTACTATTGTAATCCATGTCTCTAGTTCCTAGATTTTTGTTTCTAAAACGTTTCATGTATCTCTGTCACATCTTTAGAGGATCTCTTTAAGACAGAAAAGTGTAAAAACAGCCATTTAGCTCTCAGTCCAAAGATTCAAATAGTGACTCACAGGGCTCTTTCTCTAACGACAAACTTGTTTTCTAATGGAATAAACACAGCATGTTGTGTCACCTGGCTTGTTTGGCCCAGGAACCAAAAAATAAACTTTATTTATACAGAGAACACACACACACACACGCACGCACCATGCATGCACCATGCACACACACACACACACACACACACACACACACACACACACACACACACACACACACACACACACACACACACACACACACACACACACACACACACACACACACACACACACTATTCTATCCCCTTTCTGGTGGTTGCTTGGGGATTTAGAATTTTTTTACCTTTCCTCTCTCTGTCCTCTCTGGTTTCTTTCTCCGGTCTCTCTCTGGTCTCTCTCTGGTCTCTCTCTGGTCTCTCTCTGGTCTCTCTCTGGTCTATCTTTCTGGTCCATCTTTCTGGGATAAGTTTATGTCCTGTATGCTCATAGTACATCTTTAGTTTATTTAATCGGCCCACACTGGTCCAGACCAATACAGACTGGTCCAAACTGGTACAGACTGGTCCAGACCGATCCAGACTTGGTGTTGCTAACAGCTTGGTGGGTTTGAGGGAGGGGGGCAGCATACATTCTGCTGAGGTGTGATATGCTTCCTGCTCCGGTTCAGACGCGGTTTCTCTTATTTGCAAACTCGCGGCACCTTCTCCTTGCTCCGCGCTTTTGTTGGTGGCTCCGCAGGGGGCCGAGCCGAGCCGTGCCGAGCCGTGCCAGCAACACACACTCACCACAGATTCACCACAGCCTCGAGGTGCGAACACAGATCTCACTATCAGTAGAGGAAGCACAAGCAGAGACAAAGAGGAGTTTGAATAAATATGTCGGTCAATTATGAGACCAGAGAGAGAGAGACAAGAGAGAGAGACCAGAGAGAGACCAGAGAGAGACTTCAGAGACCTGAGAGAGAGACCAGAGAGAGACTTGAGAGACCTGAGAGAGAGACCAGAGAGAGAGAGAGACCAGAGAGAGACCTGAGAGGGGCCAGAGAGACCTGAGAGAGAGAACAGAGAGAGACCAGAGAGAGACCAGAGAGAGACCAGAGAGAGACCAGAGAGAGACCAGAGAGAGACCAGAGAGAGACCAGAGAGAGACTTGAGAGACCTGAGAGAGAGAGAGAGACCAGAGAGAGACCTGAGAGGGGCCAGAGAGACCTGAGAGAGAGAACAGAGAGAGAGAGACCAGAGAGAGACCAGAGAGAGACCAGAGAGAGACCAGAGAGAGACCAGAGAGAGACCTGAGAGAGAGAACAGAGAGAGACCAGAGAGAGACCTGAGAGAGAGAACAGAGAGAGAGAGACCAGAGAGAGACCAGTGAGAGACCAGAGAGAGACCAGAGAGAGAGAGACCAGAGAGAGACCTGAGAGAGAGACCTGAGAGAGAGACCTGAGAGAGAGATCAGAGAGAGAGACCAGAGAGAGACCAGAGAGAGACCAGAGAGACCTGAGAGAGAGACCAGAGCGAGACCAGAGAGAGAGACCAGAGAGAGACCACAAAGGGCCCAGAAAGAGAAGCCAAAGAATCAGTGAGATTCTTTGATCAGAGAGATAAGAGAGAGAGACCAGAGAGAGACCAGAGAGAGAGAGACTAGAGAGAGACCAGATATAGACTAGAGTGAGACCAGAGAGAGACTAGAGAGAGACCAGAGAGAGACTAGAGAGAGACTAGAGAGAGACTAGAGAGAGACCAGAGAGAGACTAGAGAGAGACTAGAGAGACTAGAGAGAGACCAGAGTGAGACCAGAGAGAAACCAGAGAGAAACCAGAGAGAGACCAGAGAGAGACCAGAGAGAGATCAGAGAGACCTGAGAGAGAGACCAGAGCGAGACCAGAGAGAGAGACCAGAGAGAGACCAGAGAGAAACCAGAGAGAGACCAGAGAGAGACTAGAGAGAGACCAGAGAGAGACCAGAGTGAGACCAGAGAGAAACCAGAGAGAGACTAGAGAGAGACTAGAGAGAGACCAGAGAGAGACCAGAGAGACCTGAGAGAGAGACCAGAGCGAGACCAGAGAGAGAGACCAGAGAGAGACCAGAGAGAGAGAGACTAGAGAGAGACCAGATATAGACTAGAGTGAGACCAGAGAGAGACTAGAGAGAGACTAGAGAGAGACCAGAGAGAGACTAGAGAGAGACTAGAGAGAGACTAGAGAGAGACCAGAGAGAAACCAGAGAGAGACCAGAGAGAGACTAGAGAGAGACCAAATATAGACCAGAGTGAGACCAGAGAGAAACCAGAGAGAAACCAGATATAGACCAGAGAGAAACCAGAGAGAGAGACCACATACCATGAGAGTTTTTGATATTTCCCATAGCTAGTGTTATTTCAAGAACAAAGTTGAGGATATTTGAGGCTGGATTGGGGCAGACCATAAGCACATACAGAGAACCATGGTGAGTTATTCCTGGTCCTGATTGGTCTCTGTAGTTGCGTCTGATCCAAACTCGTCTTGGATCTCGTCACTCTCGCTCAGAGCTGGTTTTTCTCTGATTTGACACAGTATATTTGGTCTTGTGCGTCGCTGTTGCTTGGAAACAGATGATGGCCCTGATTCGAGTGTCCTTCAGAAACCATTAGAGCTCTTCATACACACAGGACCAGGCACGAGGACCGGGTTTAGACCTGGTTTGGACCTGGTTTGGACCTGGTTTGGACCTGGTTTAGACCTGGTTTAGATCTGGTTTGGACCTGGTTTAGACCTGGTTTGGACCTTGTTTAGACCTGGTTTGGACCTGGTTTGGACCTTGTTTGGACTTGGTTTAGACCTGGTTTGGACCTTTTTAGTTCTGGTTCAGTGTTTTGCATCACAGAGGTGAGAGATGCTGTGGTCCTCTCGCTGCCATGGCAACGGCTGCTGCTGCCGTGGCGACAGCTGCCTCCCGCTGTCATGGCAACGGGATGATGCAGGACACGAGGAGCGGCTTTGTTCAGACGCGAAAGAGACGAGGACGACACGTCGCGTAATGAGACCACTTACCGGACTGCGGCGGCCTGGTCCTGCTCTGGTGCTAGTCTGGTCCTGGTCTTGTCCTAACATGGTCCTTGTCTGGTCCTGCTCTAATCCTGGTTTAGTCCTGGTTTAGTCCTGCTCTTATGTTGTGAGCTCATCATTCTTACTGTTCTGTAACTATTGAGGCAACACTTACATTTCCCCACTGAAAGAAAACATAAAGCATCTCTTCATCCAAATCTACTCTCTCCTGGTTGAGTCCTGGTTTAGTCTTGTTTTTTTTTTGTTTTTTTTTACTCGGGTACCTAACGTTTAAGCCACAAACAAAATGCAATGAAGTCCATGTCACTAGTTCATGGCTCTAAAACAGTTTGATTGGACCACAAGCTTGATGCGAGTAACCAGAGAGAGACCAGAGAGAGACCAGAGAGAGACCAGAGAGAGACCAGAGAGAGACCAGAGAGAGACCAGAGAGAGACCAGAGAGAGACCAGAGAGAGACCAGAGAGACACCAAAGAGAGACCAGAGAGAGGCCAGAGAGACACCAATGAGAGACCAGAGAGAGACCAGAGAGAGACCAGAGAGAGACCAGGGAGAGACCAAAGAGAGACCAAAGAGAGACCAGAGAGAGACCAGAGAGAGACCAGAGAGAGACCAGAGAGAGACCAGAGAGAGACCAGAGAGAGACCAGAAAGAGACCAGAGAGAGGCCAGAGAGACACCAGAGAGAGACCAGAAAGAGACCAGAGAGATGGAGCTAGGGAGAGATAGAGATAGACAGAGAGTGAGAGAAGCGAGGGACCAAAGAGTCAAATAGTGACCCCCAGGGCTCTCTCTGACACAGAGATACCATGTGACCCTGTCCTGTGCCCTCAGCTGCCGGAGTGTGGCTTTTATGGGATGTACGAGAAGATCCTTCTGTTCCGTCACGACTCGACCTCAGAGAACGTTCTGCAGCTTCTGCGCTCAGCCTCACAGATCCAAGATGGAGACCTGGTGGAAGTCATTCTCTCCGGTAACTCCTGCTTTTAAGCTCTGCTCTTCTCTCCCCTCTCTCCTCTCGTCTCCCCTCTCTCTCCTCTCCTCTTCCCTCTCACTGCTCTCCCCCTTCTCTCCTCTCCTCTCTGCTCTCCCCTCCACCTCTCTCCCCTCTCTCCTCTCGTCTCCCCTCTCTCTCCTCTCTCCTCTCGTCTCCCCTCTCTCTCCTCTCCTCTTCCCTCTCTCTGCTCTCTCCCTTCTCTCCTCTCCTCTCCCCTCCACCTCACTGCTCTCCCCCTTCTCTCCTCTCCTCTCTGCTCTCCCCTCCACCTCTCTCCCCTCTCTCCTCTCCTCTCCCTTCTCTCCTCTCCCCTCTCTCCTCTCTCTGCACTCTCCTCTCCTCTCTCTCCTTCAGCTTAAGCCTCCTTCAGCAGCACACGCCGGGCACCAAACAAAAACACATAAACAATAATTTTAATAAACATTGTAATTTCCCGTCTGTATAATGTGTAATCAGGAGCTTTGGAGCGTGGCGGGAGAGAGTCTGGCCACCGCCACTTGTAAACGCCACACCACTAAACATTTACAAATACAGCTAACAAGATATTCATCAGAGTGAGTGTGTGGGGGAGGAGGGGGAGGGGGTGGGCGAGTGTTCGCTCCAGAAACATGGAGAAAAAAGAGAGATGTATGAGCATGAATGTGTGCAGGTGCTGGTGTGGTCAATGTGCAGGCTGTGGGAATGATCCTAGAGCTGATTTGGACCTGCTGTAGTCCTGCTTTAGTCATGCTTTGGACCTGCTTTAGACCAGCTTTAGACCTGCTTCAGTCCTGCTTTGGACCTGCTTTAGACCTGCTTCAGTCCTGCTTTGGACCTGCTTTAGTCCTGCTTTAGACCTGCGTCAGTCCTGCTTTGGACTTTCTTTAGTCCTGCTTTAGACGTTCGTCAGTCCTGCTTTAAACCTGCTTTAGACCTTCTTTAGTCCTGCTTTAGACCTGCTGCAGTCCTGCTTTAGACCTGCATCAGTCCTGCTTTAGTCCTGCTTTAGACCATCTTTAGCCCTGATTTAGACCTACTTCAGTCCTACTATGTCCGTCCCGCTTTAGACCTACTTTAGTCCTATTTTAGACCTGCTTTAGACCTTCTTTAGACCTGTTTCAGTCCTACAGTGTCAGTCCTGTTTTAGATCTGTTTTAGACCTGCTTAAGTCCTTCTTTAGACCTGCGTCAGTCCTGCTTTAGTCATGCTTTAGACCTTCTTTAGTCCTGGTTTAGACCTGCTGCAGTCCTGCTTTAGACCTGCGTCAGTCCTGTTTAGACTTGCTTTTGTCCTACTTTAGACCTGCTTTAGACCGAAATGTGGTTAGCTGTGCTTCTAAACTTGGCGTTGGTGTGCCCTCAGCCTCAGCCACCGTGGAGGACTTCCAGATCCGTCCTCACTGTCTCTTCGTCCACTCGTACAGAGCCCCCGCCTTCTGTGACCACTGCGGCGAGATGCTGTGGGGGCTGGTCCGACAGGGACTCAAGTGTGAAGGTGAGACCAGCTTTAGACTCAGACCAGAGGCAGGATCAGGAACCTGGTCTGGACATGTACTGTATGATAAACCTCTCTCTGGTCTCTCTTTCTGATTGTTCTCCAATTTCTCTTGTCGCTGTCTCTGTTTCAGGTCTATATCTCTGGTCTCTCTCTGGTCTCCATCTTTGGTCGACCTCTAGTCTCACACTCTGGTCTCACTTTGGTCCTTCTTGCAGAAAGACTCTAATCTCTCTTTGGTCTTTTGCTAGTCTGTAACTCTGCGCTCTCTCTCAAACTCTTTCTGGTCCAGCTCCCTGGTCTCTTTCAAGTCTTTCTCTGGTCTTTCTCTTTGGTCCATGCTTCAGTCTCTGCCTCAGTCTCTGCCTCAGTCTCTGCTTCAGTCTCTGCCTCAGTCTCTGCTTCAGTCTCTGCCTCAGTCTCTGCCTCAGTCTCTGTTTCAGTCTCTGCCTTGTTATTTCCTGGTTCACTGCTGGTTCTTTCTGTTGTAGGTTGTGGGCTGAATTATCATAAGCGCTGTGCCTTTAAGATCCCCAATAACTGCAGCGGCGTGCGGCGACGGCGAGGGTCCAATGTGTCTCTGGGAGGCCTGGGAGGCCTGGGAGGTCTGGGAGGTCTAGGACTGGGAGGACCCTCTCCTCCACACTACACAGATGAGGCTCTGCTGGTGAGAGTCTAACGTCTCAGTCACATAGAAAAAAAAAACAATAATAATAAGTCTATAACAATAATAAGTCTTTCATCTCTCCCTCAGTCTCCAGTCAGCCCCAACATGGAGGTGAGTTAGCCGTGCTTCTAAGTGACCTTTAGCTCTCTCTCACTCTCTCTGATCCCTCTGTTCTCTGTCTAATCTCTCTCTAGTCTCTCTGCTCTCTCCTCTCTCTCTCTGTTCTCTCTCTGGTCTCTCTCTGGTCTCTAAATAAAAACAGTCACTCTCTCTATTCTTTTTCTAGTCTCTCTCTCTCCCTCTTTCTCTAATCGTTTTAAGTTTAACTTGCACAATCAAAGAGTGATGAATACTATTTTACCCTTTGTAAAGTCAATTATCAAACACTTATTTATTCCTTAGAAGTGTTTTTTATTCTTTTTATTTTATTTTACTCTCTCTCTCTGACTGTTGCACCGAGCCAAAGCAATTTCCAAGTCTGTGACCTCCTGTTACTTACGTGGCAATAAAAATGATTCTGATTCTTATTTGGCCCTGTGTCCTGACCTCCTACCCCCTCCCCCCCTCCCTCTCTATCTCAGAAGTCTCCGGTGGACTTCCTGGGGGGCCGTGAGCGCAGGGCCAGCTGTCAGTCGTACATCGGGCGTCCTATTGAACTGGACAAGATGCTGCACAGGATCAAAGTCCCTCACACCTTCCTCATCCACAGCTACACCAGGCCCACGGTCTGTCAGCTCTGCAAGAAACTGCTCAAGGGACTGTTCCGACAGGGACTGCAGTGCAAAGGTACCAGAGAGGGACCAGGGAGGGACCAGAGAGACTAGAACGGGGACCCGAGAGAGCAGGGACGCACCAGAAAGGGACCAGAGAGACTCGAGAGGGACCAGAGCGACCAGAAAGGCACCAGGGAGGGACCAGAGAGAATTGGGAGGAACCTAGGAGAGCCTAGATAGAGAGACCAGAGAGACCAAGGCGGGATCTGAGAGTGAGACCAGCAGAGACACCAGAGAGACCAGGGAGCAAGCAGTGAGGGACCAGAGAGGGACCAGAAAGACTCGGGGAGGGGGGGGGGGGGGCCAGAGCAACCAGAGAGAACAGGGAGGAACCTGTGAGAGCCTAGGTAGAGAGACCAGAGTGAGACCATTATAGACACCAGAGAGACCAGGGAGCAAGCAGAGAGGGACCAGAAAGGGACAAGAGAGAGAGCGAGAGAGAGAGGAGAGATGGGTATTTTACAAAAACCTTTTTTGGAAGAAATTACACTTTTATACTTACTATTAATTATAAAAGGAAATCTGATTAAATAATAAAGTATGTTTTTATAATGAAAGTCAGTAGATCCTTTTGGGTCGCAGATGAATACATGTGAGCATAAAAAGCCAAGAAACATCAATATTGGGACAACTTGCTAAAAATAGAAGATATGCAAGATCTCAAGGGCACAAACATGTAGCGGGTGTGATGAAGCTGAGGTCCCAATTTACCAACTCAAACTCTGAAAGTTCTGTTACTAGTTTTATATTTGGCCTCACCTGCTGATCAGATTTTACAGACAGTAAAGTGAGGGAGAGAAGACCACCCTCATTAAGCCAATCAGCTCTCAGCTCAGAGAGGCATATAGTGACTCTCATTGTAGGCAAGGCAAGTTTATTTGTATAGCACAGTTCATACACAAGGCAACTCAAAGTTCTGAACAAAACATGAAACAATCACACAAGGCTGTGCTCCTCAGAGTCCCAGCAGGAGGCCAGTCCCTGTGCTCCTCAGAGTCCCAGCAGGAGGTCAGTCCCTGTGCTCCTCAGAGTCCCAGCAGGAGGCCAGTCCCTGTGCTCCTCAGAGTCCCAGCAGGAGGCCAGTCCCTGTGCTCCTCAGAGTCCTCCTCATGTCTCATGTTTGTGCTAAATGTCCTGATGTTGTGTTTCTCAGACTGCAGGTACAACTGTCACAAACGATGTGCCGCCAAAGTCCCCAACAACTGTCTGGGAGAAGTGACCAGGAACGGAGGTGAGCTACATTCACTCTTCACCAGAGAGAGACCAGAGAGAGACCAGAGAGAGACCAGAGAGAGACCAGAGAGAGACCAGAGAGAGACCAGAGAGAGACCAGAGAGAGACAAGAGAGAGAGCCAAGAGAGAGACCAGAAGGAGACCAGAAGGAGAGACCAGAGAGAGAGACCAGAGAGAGACTAGAGAGAGAGCCAAGAGAGAGACCAGAAAGAGACCAGATAGAGAGACCAGAGAGAGACTAGCGAGTCCGGAGAGAGACCAGAGACAGACCAGAGAGAGAGACTAGAGAGAGAGACCAGAGAGAGAGACCAGAGAGAGAGACCAGAGAGAGAGATTAGAGAGAGAGACCAGAGAGAGACCAGAGAGAGAGACCAGAGAGAGAGACCAGAGAGAGAGACCAGAGAGAGACCAGAGAGAGAGACCAGAGAGAGAGACCAGAGAGAGAGACCAGAGAGAGACCAGAGAGAGACCAGAGAGAGACCAGAGAGAGACCAGAAAGAGACCAGAGAGACCAGAGAGAGACCAAAGGGAGTCTCTTCATGTGCTCTTGGAGGTTCTTCGTGGAGCGACACATGGTCCTTTTGTTGGGGTGATGTCTGAAGTACCAGTTTTTTTTGGGTGCAGAGCTGCTGAGTCCCGGGGCGGAGTCTGACGACCATGAAGGCGGCAGGAGAGCGAGCCTATTGGACGATATGGAGGAAGTGATGTCATCGGAGGGCGCCCTTCTGCTGGAGACCGGTACAAACGACGATCCGGATCTGGACGAATCCAACCGAGCGATCAGGTGAAGAACCAAGACTGGACCAGGACCGGACCAGGACTGGTTGATTTGTTGTGTACCATGTGTTTTTTTGTGCTCAGTCCCACGACCAGCAACAACATTCCTCTGATGAGAGTTGTGCAGTCGGTCAAACACACAAAGAGGAGGAGCAGCAACGTGATGAAGGAGGGATGGATGGTCCACTATACCAGCAAGGACACTCTGGTACTGACAGGGACCAGCATGCACACTCTGCTACTGACAGGGAACACAGGGACCAGAGAGAGACAAGGGAGAGAGACACCAGAAAGAGACAGTAGAAAGACCAGAAAGAGAGAACAGAGAAATACCAGAGAGAGAAAAGAGAAAGAGAGACCAGAAAGAGACCAGTGAGAGACCAGAAAGAGACCAGTGAGAGACCAGTGGGAAACCAGAAAGAGACCATTGAGAAACCAGAAAGAGCCCAGTGAGAAATCAGAAAGAGACCAGTAAGAGACCAGAAAGAGACCAGTGAGAGACCAGAAAGAGACCAGAGAGAGAGAGATCAGAGAAGGACCAGCCGTACTCTATTCTACTCCATACTAATTGTGTTTTTTCTGTCTTTCAGAGGAAGAGACATTACTGGCGCCTCGATAGCAAATGCATCACTCTGTTCCAAAACGACGCCAGCAGCAAATACTACAAGGTTCTGTTTTGTTTGCTTTTATCTTTTTGCACACGGCCCACATGGTTCCAACTGACACCAGGTGGATTTTATTTATTCATTTGATATGGACACAACAGTTGGACAGACCATATGCACTGCCTTTGCGTCATAGCAGGACAGTGATTATTTTCTGGTGTTAGCTCTATAATAATAATAATAAAAATAATAATGATAATAACAATAATAATAATAACAATGATAATGTTAATAATAATAATAACAACAATAATAATAATGATAATAATAATAATACTAACAACAATAACAATACTAATAATAATAAATCATAATAATAATAATAATTCTCTGATATGCAGGAAATACCGCTGTCCGAGGTGCTGACGCTGGAAGCTGCCCAGAACTTCTCTCTGCTGCCGGAAGGAGCCCACCCTCACTGCTTCGAGATCTCCACCTCAGCTTTAGTTTACTATGTAGGAGAGAACTTGACCAGAGCTGAGACTGGACTCAGTGGGAGCAGTCTGCTGGTGAGACTGAGACTGAGACTGAGACAGAGACTTGCGTGTTCCTAATCCAATTCAAAAAAGGTTTATTTTATCCTGAGTTATCATTTTCATTGTTTGGTCAGAGAGAGACCAGAACGACTAGAGAGAGACCAGAGAGAGACCAAGGAGGGAGATCAAAGAGAGACCAGAAAGAGAGACCAGAAAGAGAGACCAGAGAGAGACCAAAGAGAGAGACCAGAGAGAGACCAAAGAGAGAGACCAGAGAGAGACCAGTGAGAGACCAGAGAGAGACCAAAGAGAGAAACCAGAGAGAGACCAAAGAGAGAAACCAGAGAGAGACCAAAGAGAGAACATAGAGAGACCAGAGAGAGACCAAAGAGTGAGACCAGAGAGAGACCAAGGAGGGAGATCAAAGAGAGACCAGAAAGAGAGACCAGAAAGAGAGACCAGAGAGGGACCAAAAAGAGAGACCAGAGAGAGACCAGTGAGAGACCAGAGGGAGACCAAAGAGAGAGACCAGAGAGAGACCAAAGAGTGAGACCAGAGAGAGAACTTATAGAGATCAAAGAGAGACCATAAATATAGTGTGTGTCTTGTGCAGGTGAGTGGTGTGGGGCAGGACGTGGCGAGGATGTGGGAGATGGCGATCCAACACGCTCTGATGCCCGCGGTGTCGACAGGAATCGCACACAACAATCACAAACACAGTAAGTGTTTCTGCTGCTGTGACCTACGGCTGTGTTTGACTCTGTCCTGTCTCCACAGCTGAAGTCTCCGTCAGCATCTCGGTGTCCAACTGCCAGATCCAGGAGAACGTGGTCAGTGAGAAACTCTTTTATTGCACCGGGACTCGTTCAGCCGTCATTATGACTGCTACCATACAAACTAATCCCCAACATTTCCTCCAGTTTATGACATTTATTTAGTTTTAACAAGTAGTGAATATAACTGAAGCACATACAGTAACACAAATGTACGTGCGGGGAAGTGGTGAGCCATCTGTTCTCTTCCACTCTGGAGGCTCCTTGAAACACCGTCTCCATGTAAACAAAAGGCCAAAACGATACACATGAACTCTGACGTTCCACTGTTGCAGCGTCCTCGTGTAAACAGCACATTACAATACTCTGACCTCATCTTCTCACCTTCTCTGGCCTTGTCCTTCTCTGACCTCCTGTCTTATGTTCCAGGACATAAACTCAGTGTACCAGATCTTTCCAGATGAGGTTCTGGGATCTGGACAGTTTGGAATCGTCTATGGAGGTGAGTATGAGCTGCAGAAACTAGAGCCTAGTGTATGTCAGAAATGAAACGGACAGAGACGGATCATGGGGCACCGAGGCTCTGGAAATGTATTTAGGCTTCTCTCAGGTTCCAGTTGTTTCAGTTGTTTCATTTTTTTCAGACAGAATGAAGGCAGGACATGATTTATATAGTCATTGTTACGTCACACACGGAAAGACACACATGTCACATTCAAAGACACTCAGAACATATTATAGTCATAGAATGGATACACAATCAGAATCCTTGTAGAGTCTTGCAGTTGTCCACCTGGTAGGTCATATAGCTATCTAATCCTCATATGTATACACGCGCGCAACTGGTTACGGTTGCGGTTGCGCTGGACCTACGTAACCACATTGGCTCGTCCACCCGTGCGTTCCCCTTGCGGAGTTTTGAAGAGAATGTTGTAATCCCACACCCAACCACATGATGGCGAACACACAGGAGTTGCCTGAGAAACCAAAGCGGTCCCTTTTACGCTAGCTACTTTCTCCTCTTCAGAACAAAAACATTTGCAAATCAAGCTGTTTGAGCTCATTACATGTGTATCTAGTGTAGGTTTATGTGATAGTTCTATGGACTTATTTCAACTGTGATGCTGTGAATAAAGACACAGTTTTATTCAACACAAGCAGCAAAACAATAAGTAGTAAATATCTGAGACCAAACGTGACGGTTTACAAGTGCAGGAGGAATGGAACAGACGCGATGAGCTACGAGTGCAGATTCAAACAAAGACAGGAACAGTGCAAAAGGAACGACTGCCGTTTATAAGTTGGATATGCAACAGAACTCTAGTCCACAGTCTCCGCGTATATCAAGCTCTGAACCATGAACCCAAACTATGTTTCCTTCGAAGCACAAAGCTATCTGGTCCGAAGTGCCTCGTCCATGCTACCTGCAGCCGCTCCATGCTTCCGTCCAAAACACACACACGGACCAATCACGGTGGAGCTTCTCTGCGGCGGCGGCTGCGTTGTTAGAAATTTTTGAGGGTGTGTGGCAGGCTAGGCAAGGGTCTTGCGGTGATCCTGGCGTTACGCAAGTGACGTCACATCACCACCGTAAGCTCCGCGCAACTATACACTAGGCTTAAAACAGAGACTGAAACAGAGACTGAAGCAGAGACTAAAGCAGAGAATAAGGCAGAGTAGCGCTTGGGACATACAGGAGGACCGAAAGATTGGCGGAACTTGCCTATATTTGGGCATCGTCTGGTCCTCCTGGTTCTACGCAGTAGACGGCCTCAATGATGCATTGCGCCAAATACACAGTCTGTGTTAGCGTCCTCCAATTTATCAAAAGTAATTTATTACTTGTGTCATGTCAGGGAGATGTGAGATTTCATAACACTTTTAAGCAACTTTTGTTAAAGTTAAACTCATCAATCTATCAATGTGCAGAAGCCAGTACTTTTCCCTTGTTTTGTCTATCTGAAGGCCAAGCTACAAGCACACCGTGGAAGCTGCTGATTGGAGGTCTCCATGCCTCCGCTCTGTATAATACACTTGCATTCTATTGTATCTGTAGATCGTGCTGTCTCTACCATTGACAATAAAACATGTCTTCTGTCTGAATGAAAGACGCGATCCCAGACTTGGCACATCTTCTTCAGAGATATCGGAGATTTTAATTTTCAACTTAGATCCTCCTGAAGCCTGAAGGTTCTTCTGTTCCATAACGTTGTGTGTTTTACTCAAAGGGAAACACAGGAAGTCGGGGCGAGACGTGGCCATTAAAATCATCGACAAGATGAGGTTCCCCACGAAACAGGAGTCACAGCTGCGGAACGAGGTCGCCATCTTACAGGTATCACACTGTCCTGGGTCCACAGCCTCAGTCCTGGATCTTTGTGTGTGTGTTGTGTGTTCATGTGTGTGTTTGTGTTTTTTTTCAGAGCCTACAGCACCCTGGTGTGGTGAACCTGGACTGTATGTTTGAGACTCCAGAGCGAGTGTTTGTGGTAATGGAGAAGCTTCACGGAGACATGTTGGAAATGATTCTGTCGAGTGAGAAAGGACGACTCCCAGAGCGCATCACCAAGTTCTTTGTCGCACAGGTCGGGACAAGAACCGGACCAGGACTAGACCAGGACTGGACCAGAACTGGACCAGGACCAGTTCAAGACTGGACCAGGAATTGACTAGAAAGAGACCAGAGAAAGACAGGAGAAAGACCAGAGAGAGAGATCAGAGACTATGAGACCAGAGAGAGACCAGAACAAGACCAGAGAGAGACCAGAACAAGACCAGAGAGAGACCAGAACGAGACCAGCGAGACCAGAGACACCAGGGACTGTATTCCTTCTCTACTCAAAATAATTTCCTTGTCTGTGATTTCTTGTTACTTACATGGCAGTAAACATGAATCTGAGTTTGTGAGACCAGAGAGTGTGAGATCATTGAGAATAAATATCTAATCCCCAAATACCAGAACAGATTCCAAACTGTCACAAATGTTAAAACAGGCTTTTGAAAGGAGGGAGTGGAGACTTCTGCTCAGGGTCAGAGGATTAGATTCTCACCTCATCAATTGAATTGAGAAAATCCCTAAGCCTAAACCTGCCTGTGTGTAATGCTGTTGTGTTGTTGCAAATCCTGGTGTGTGTTACCTTCTTGTGTTGTGTTGTTGCAGATCCTTGTGGCTCTCAGACATCTTCACTTCAAAAACATCGTTCACTGTGACCTGAAGCCGGAGAACGTCCTGTTGGCCTCTGCTGATCCCTTTCCTCAGGTCAGAGGTCATTTGGTTTGATCTCTCTCTCTCTCTTCTCTCTCTCAGGACCTGTCATTGTTTGGCAAGTCTCAAGTTAGTCTTATTCATTGCCCTCAAGTCCCAAGTCAAGTCCCAATTCAAATCCTGATTAAAGACAGGCAAGTCCTGAGTCTTGTCCCAAGTCAAAGCCAACAAGTCTCAAGTCAAGTCCCCGGTCCTACGGTTTGACTTTCGAGTCCTTTCGAGTCTTTTGAACCGTGATCCCTTTCTTTTTGGTTTCCACACATTTTTTGAAGGCAAAGAAAATAATCTTAGTGAATGACCCAAATTACACAAGTCCTTACAAGTCAATCAGCGCAAGTCCAAGTGAAAGTTAGAGTCCAAGTCAAGTTGCAAGTCTTTTTATATGTCTAACACGAGTCCAAGTCACATGACCTGAGTCCGCACCTCTGCTCAAGTCTCACTCGGGTATCTAGCAACCAGAGAGCAACCAAAGAGAAACCAGGTCATTATTTTTCTCAAATTATCTTTGTGAGGAGTTCTCCCCTCATTATCCATCGGAGCATAGGGGCTGGTGCTATGTGTGCTGGGTGCAGCACGTCAGTGCCACCCGACCCAGAAATGGATTAAGGGGAAGAAAATGGATGGATGAATAGCAAGTGCTAATTACCATAGCAACACTGCTTACTACCACAAGTTAGGATTAGCATTTTTTCTGTAGTTCAGTTTTAATGACCAGTTTTTCAAAGTGAGTAACGGTAAAAACTGTATACTTTCACTTCATGTTGTCGTGTTATATGGTGTTATTCAGGTGAAGTTGTGTGACTTTGGCTTTGCTCGCATCATTGGGGAGAAGTCGTTTAGACGCTCGGTTGTCGGGACTCCGGCGTATCTGGCTCCTGAGGTTCTGCGCAACAAGGGCTACAACCGCTCCCTGGACATGTGGAGCGTGGGGGTCATAGTCTATGTCAGGTACTAGGACTGCTACTGATGCTACTGATGCTACTGATGCTACTAATGCTACTGATGCTACTGATGCTACTGATGCTAATGATGCTACTGATGCTACTGACGCTACTGACGCTACTGATGCTACTGATGCTACTAATGCTACTGATGCTACTGATGCTACTGATGCTACTGATGCTACTGATGCTACTAATGCTACTAATGCTACTGATGCTACTGATGCTATTGATGCTACTGATGCTACTGATGCTACTAATGCTACTAATGCTACTGATGCTACTGATGCTACTGATGCTGCTGATGCTACTGATGCTACTGATGCTACTGATGCTACTAATGCTACTGATGCTACTGATGCTACTAATGCTACTAATGCTACTGATAATACTGATGCTACTGCCGCTTGCAGCAGGTCTGTGTTGAACAGTTTCCTGTTGTTTCAGTCTCAGTGGAACTTTTCCTTTTAATGAAGACGAAGACATTAACGATCAGATCCAGAACGCAGCATTTATGTATCCACCTCAACCCTGGAAGAAGGTCTCACAAGAAGGTACTTTACTTTGCTCTACACTACTTTACTCTACTCCACTCAGCTCTCTCTAGAAACCCTGTTAGAGCTTGAAACTGTCTCTCTCCAGTCTCTCTTTCTAGTCCCTCTGGTTGCTCTCTGGGCTCTTTCTAGTCTGATCTCTCTCA